CTGCAATGAATAAAAAAAATAAAAATGTTTTTTAATTGAATTGGATATGAAAATTTACAGAAAAAATTATTTTTCACGTAATTGAAACGTTTGCATACATATAAAACGTACCCTATGGTACAATTGTCACAAACGAAAAGCAAACGTTTCTCGTTGGGGAAAATGACAGTGAATCTTACAATTTGTTTCTGACTATTTACAAAACTGTACAAAACCACAGATGATATGATGATCGATGAGCAAATGGGAATTGTTTTGTACAGTTTATTTTCGTACCCTGATTAAATGTATCATGTATTATCATATGTATACATATTCATATCATATCAATTTAAAAAATTAACAGAATGTATTTTTAAACAAATTTTCTGGGACGCAAATGTGTACTTTGTTTTTACTTCTAGTGGGCTATTGTCAAATTTCAGAAAGAAAATACAAACACTTTCCTTTTTTCATTCTCTCGCTAGCGGAATTTTGACAATCACGCATCATTCACAGCTGATGAAACAACACCACCTTATATGTATTCTCAATAAGTATAAAATAAATTTAAATGACATTTATTTCGTAAAAGTATTTCAACAAAAAATATAATGGTGAAGAAAGTTTGTTTCTAAGCATACAAGAAATCGGATATCTATTTGTTAATAAAAAAAAAAAATTTACTGTTTATAAAAAAATTAATTTTTTATTTTTTATGTTGTCTTAATTGTTTTAATTGTAATTTAATTTTAGTCGTATGTTTAAAATTTCATTAACTTTCTTAAAATATTAACTGAGCAGCTAAAAACAAAGTTTAAATAAAAGCTATAATTTATAAAAAATAGGAATTTTCAAAAAAATATTTCAATATCTTAAATTTCATCAATAAATATTCGAGGTTCTACAGCAAGAAGTTTCGATGAAACAAGTTGATGTTTAGTGTTGAGAAAACTTGACTCAAAGCGAGATCTTTGAGTAAACAAGGAACAAAAAATGATAAATTCTATCGAACCACATTTTTGGTTTATCCATAGCAAAACGGCTGGCATTCTGGACCTGTGCTAAAAATACTTAAACATTTATCGAAGCTCCGATTCATTAAAAATGCATTCGATGCATCGAAAATGTCGATTTTTATGTACAATATATCGATATGTATGGTAATGTAAATATTTTGGGTGTAACAGAAAGCAACACCACGACTTAGAACATCTTTTTTTATCCCTATGATGGTTCCTAACTCTGACTTAAGAGCATCGACTGTGGAAGAACTGAAGCATTGCAGTCTTAATCTGACCACGGCCGGACAATCACAAACAATGTGCTGCGACATCTACTCGTCTTCAGGGCAATGACGGCAATCCGGTGTATGTGAGAGCACAGTTAATTATGGCCCGTCAGATAGCCAACAAGCAACTTGATATCGGCTTTGTTCAGAAGATATATCTTTCCTAGCGAAAGGATAACCAAAAAGTCTGACCTGCCTAAGGCCCTCTTCCTCGAACCCAGTACTTACTGCGTCCCGAGTTTACCCGCGATTCTATTTTAAACCTCGAGGAGGACCAACTGGGTCCGCAAAACGGTTGAACCTTCCCTTGCCAGTTCGTCGGCGGCCTCGCTACCTCCGATCCCGCAGTGTCCTAGGGAACAGAATTATAATACCTTGTTCCTTGCTGAAAAGAGTTGAATAGTGTCTTATTGGAAAGGTTCTTCAAGGTTCAGTGTGGCACAAATTGAGATTGCTAGTACTTCGGCCTGCAAGACCGTGGACCAAGTACCCACTGCAATTGAAAGTGTACCAGTGTACATATCTGGAATCTAGTTCAGGTAAACCATTTGACCAGACATCTCGGTCTATAAATTTGACCTGAAATTTCCTTCCAAAGCAGATTTCCTTTGGCTTGGCGTCGGAAAACTCGCAGATTCGTAGACCTGGTATTTTGCTTGAAATACCTTTGTGTTGTGTCTTGTTTTTTAAAGTACTGTCAGAATTTTGCATATGAACATTCATCGAAGCTGCTACTGCTTGAACAAAAATGTACTACTACTACATACTATTTTCGACTTAGCTCTTTTCGTCATAAAAAACCTGCGCTCTGTGTTCATATAAAACGTGTCTGCCTGTATATTGAATATAAATAGTATACTAAAATCGCCGCATACGCACAGAAAATCGGAGCAGGGGAGACACACTCAAACCGTTGGCGACGCGCCTGAATGCTCTCCACACAGCGGGTGGTGCGGGACAATGTCGACCATTGCCGGCTGCATAGCGTTGGGGACGTTAAATTTACTAGGAAGAGAAGAGCAGCAAAGTGAGAACTAAGCACAGTGTATTGAAGTGGTGAAGCATTTTATAAAAAAATAGGGGTGTATGAATTTCGGCTGGTATTGAAATTATGGTCTATATAATAAATAATGTACTTAATTTAACTTATTTTAAGCTCCGGGATAGTTTTCACTTCGAAAGGACAAATCTCATGGAAAGATGTGGTGGCCTCCGAAATAGCAGCTTTAACTTTTACCAAAATATGTTTTTGTCGTTTTTTTACAAAACTTTTTAATTAAAAGTTGGTCGCCAAAGGTTGCATATGGCAAGCCTTAGGCCGAGGCCGTGCTATGAGCGGCTTAAAATTAAAACATGAAATACTATTGAAATGGCCACACACTGAGCGGCATTTCTGAGCGGCTGAGCGGCATTTCTGTATGCCGCTCGTTGCGTGGCCTCGACCTAAGAGTGTGCTGCTTCCATTAAAAATATTGTCAAAAGCCCCATCTAGCTTTCGGAGACACGTGGGTCCCTATATCGTCCGACGAAATACTTAACAAATATATTTTTACATAAAAGTTGCACAGTACCACGAAACAAAAATCAATTTAAAAAAAAAACTAATAAATTTGTACAGAAATTGATTTGCTCAATCCGAATGCGAAGTCGAAACTCCTAATTTTCCTCGTTTTTTGGCACATCTATAGCAGGTTTTTCCACTTTAGGAACAATAAATGCAAAATGTATGGCAATTGACTAGATCCCTTTGCCGGATAAAAGATTTTATGCCAAAATTTAAGTTCGTAGATAAAATCGGTATTTCCACAAATTTCAGAGTAATTTCTATAAAATAAGTATATCGATATTATAGTATGGAAAGGGCGTTAATCACATCGTCGCTGAAAGACAGAAAAACCACACAGAAACCACAAATGCAAAATTCACTTTTTGATTGTTTACACGGTGTTACAAAATAAATAAAAAATGCACCAACTATTTAAGTAACCTAGTACAGGTCGTACAGCTGGCCGGGTAGTTCACGAACTAACCAATTTTAATTTTTGGCTTTGGAAAAAAGAATACTTATACTATTTAAAGTAATAATACATTTTGCGAACACGTCGTAAATAGTATGTGGAAAAATTTTGGCATATATCTAAAATTTCCACCAATTTTTATTATTTTTCACACTTCTACAACATTTTTTCCCCCAAAATCTCAGAACAAAATCAGGCATGTTCTGCATTCTACTTTGGAGTGAAAGTTGTTTAAAAATACTTCCATTTCACATTTTCGTATTCTACATTTTACCCTACACTTTTGAATTCCGTTCAAATCAAATTCAAATCTCTACTTTTCTAGGTAATCAAAACTGAAACGTTTTATTTTTGATTTTCACTTAATTTTCATTCTACAACTTTTCTGGAACATGCCTGTATAGTTTCTTTTAGTCATTACTTTTAAAATTTTTAACTCCGAGTAAAACTAGGTACCACTCATTAAAATCAATAACAAAAATTATGAAGTTATGACATCCTTTATAAAGAGACAAATTCAAATTTTGCTAGACGAACTATTGAAACCTCAAAGTGAATCCAATTCAACTGACTAAAACTTTCTGTGGAATTACATCGAAAAAATTTAAAAAAATATCAACCGAGCTGAAAATTGTTTAGTGCGGTAAGTCGTGTAAAAATGTATTTCTTAAGAATAAGTCGAGAATTTGAGGTAGTTCAAAATATTTTAAACGCCTAGGTGCTTTGATTGCGTTGAGTCCTGACACTAGAATTAAGGTTTATCCGAATATCTGCTCTAGAACATTTATTTTTCTAATCATTCCGCAGTTCGGTACATAACCACCTGGGAATTGTGGGATCGAAGAAAAGAGTTCCTTGTCTTTCTTTATCTCCCACTGTTGTTTACCATTTGGTAAACCAAACCATGTATCCAATTCATTAGGCCTATTTGCTAATTAATATAAATTTCCCGAGCAAATTCAAGATGATGTGAGAACAATAAATTGAAAAACCACCCACTGTACGACCTCATAGCCCCTAAGAAGCCATTGTACAGCAGCGGCTAGCAGCGGAGTATGCTTTGACGATGTTGTAGGTGGCACAGCAAAGTTGTTATGGCTTTCGCTGTCAACAGTGTTGGCAGAGCAGACGATGTAGCAGCGGCAAGTGAGAGCATTCACCAGCAAGTCGGGTATTTCGTTGGTGAGTTGTTGAATACACAACGTTAGTTCCTGCTGCTATATTATCTACAGCTGTTGCTTTTTGATGCAGTCGCAATTGCTGCTAAAGCCACTTCCACCTCCACCGCTAGTGCCAACAGCTCTGCAATATTGTATACATACAAATTAGGGTGGTCCTTAAAATCAAATGAAATATTTTTTTCAGTCTCACCCCAACAATCGGTAATACCACGGTCACAGATATCACATATAAATTTTGGTCACGATTGGAGTCGGTTAAGACATCTTCATATGATAATCTGAACTTTGCCACCTGTGCGGGCACGCCTTGACCGCCCCAATCGGTACTAAAGTTTATATGTGAGATCCTCGACTATGGTAGCATCGACCTAGGGGTTAGGAAATCTGATGTAAAAAATTGCTTCCTACATTTAAGCTCCACCCTAATATACATACAATTTAGCGTAGCGTACAATATAGTGTGGTTTAATGTAGGTTCTTACACTTCCAGTAGACACTACCCGATAGCGCGACGCATCCAACAGAGTTGCTTTTGGCCTCTGTTGGTCTGGTCGCTATTGTGTTGTTGTGCTGTTGTGCCTGCGTATCGAACAACAGGTCTTCCCGTTTTCGACTGTCAGAATGGCTATAAACATCATTACATTTTCACAGTCATTCAGACGCAGTCAGCTCACGCTCAGTTATCGCGTTACATTGGAGCTGTTCAGTTCATTTTGGCACAGCACTTCCCAGCGTCTTACGCGCACTCGTTCGTTGTGGCGAATATACATACACGTCTTAATCCCAAAAAGAACCAAATACAATATACCCACACGGTAAGGCGAAAGAGTGCAGACGAGACGCTTGGAGTCGCATTGAGTAGCGTTGAGTTGAACATTTCGAAACGATTCTGCTGTGGTTTACATACCGTCAAGCGAATAGTCGTTGTTTAGTCAGTGATCTTTGTCGGTTAGCGTTAGACGTATGCGCGGAAGCTCGAGCAGATTGAAAAATTTTACTCAGTACAATAAATAAAAACAAAGTCTTTGAACGAACTAAGATTTTCTAAACACCACCAGCGAGAACAGCAACAAGAAATACCATCTCTAAAACATTTTTGTATTTCCACGCAGGAATACAAATTTGATTTTTACTTTCGCCAGAAAATAACCGTGAAATATAAAAGTAAATAAGCTAAAAATAAGTTTTTGAAATTATATACAAAATTGTTATATAAAAAATCTACAAAACAAAAACAAAAAGGAACCAGCAAAAACATTTTTTTTGAGTGTTTGCTGTGTAAAAGCGTAAAAGAAGTGTGAGAGTGGCGATATTTTTGTTGGCTTTGCTTGTGTATATTCTTTCATCGTTTTCACGTGCCTGTGGTTTTATTACTCTATTTCTTTTTTGATATTATTTTACTTGAATATTTGCATAAAATAAAAAAAAAAATTAAGAAGTAAGGATAAACAGATAAATGCAAGCAAATTGTGCATAAGTAGGTGTACTGCGAAAACAAAATGCGAATTGAAAATTGTCTGATGTGAAAATTTATACTTACATACCTATATGTAGTATGTAGTATATGTACATATTTGTAGTATAATTTGAATGAATTTCCACGTAAACGAAGAACATTTAGACTACACAGAAACACACAATTGAGCCAATAATAGGTATATTTATCACAAAAAAAGAATATAAAAATTAAAAATCCAGAACCAGAAGATACGATTCAAAATTTTAACATCGAAAACTCTTTTTAAAAATGTATATTCGAAAATTTAGGAGGAAATTGAAGAAAATTTATAAAATAAAATTAAATTAAGTAATTTGAGGCAAAATAAAATTTAAATAATAGAATTGAATGAATAAAATTAAATAAAATCAGAAAGTTAAATGAAAATGATAATAAAATTTTGTACTCGAAAAGGCTAAACAATCTAGAATCCGAAGACTTGCAACTCAAAACTTGAGTCTCAAAAATTATTTAAAAAAAAAACCTAATATAAAATGAAATAGGACATTTGTAGAAGAAAGAATTTAAACTAAATTAAATCAAAGAGTAAAATTAAACTTGCATCTCAAACATTATTCAAAAAATTATTAGAGAAAAAAATATCAAATATGTAGGAGGAAATAATATAAATAAAACAAAAGAAAATAGGAAAAAATAAATAAATTAAAAAAATTCAACTAAATAATTCCAATCAAACAAATTTGATTAGAATAAAGAAGTATATACAAATATTGGAAATTACATAGAATTAAATTAAAGAAATTTAACCGAAATAAAATCAAATCAAAAGGCAAAATTAAACAGTGAGCAAAATATTGACTAAAATTTTTTTACAGATTAGCTTAAAATTAACATAAATTGCAAGTACGAAATTTAAAACCATGTTAAAAATACATTTTTGGGTTTTAATTTTATTGTATTAAATTAATACTATTGATTACAGCGTTGCCAACGCAAAAAAAAATCCATCTAAAACACGCTATAATGGAATGCCAAAACTCGGATTCCCAATTGAATTTATCTATACATTAATTTTTTTTTAACAAATTAAAACGTGTATTTGGAAAGAAAACAATTTGCATGAAAATATAAAAACAAGTAATTTTTAAAAAAGAAATATTAAATTGGACATATAACACACACACAATACACAATAAATCTGCATGAAGCAAGACTTAAAGGAGAAAAAAATTTTAATTAAAAAACTCGAATAAAAAAATAAGAATTTTATTAAACAAAATTTTTAAATTTTTTAGGCAAAAATACATTTATTATAAAACTGCATTAGAAATAAGCTTTGTGTTTGCGCGCGAGATTGTAGAAGTATGTTGAAAAAAAACAATAAGAAAAAAAGTTTGCCATTAGCGAAAACTCATAAGAATTAAAGGGTTTAATGCATAAAGTATAACTGTCCGCCACAAAAGTGATAGTGAACCTATAGCACACTTTTCTGCTACGAGTATCAGCACTTAGCAACATCTAAGGAAAAAGAGCTTGTAAAAACAGAATTTCTCGTCGAAAACAAAAATAACAAGTTCTTAATTTTTTTCTTTCACATTTTTATGTAGTTTTTTTCGGATTTTTTTTTTCACCTACACCACACCTTCTGTCAACGAATTCTGACATGTCCTTTTGCTATCCACAATAAATAAATAGGAAACAACAACAAAAACCGCCAATTCGATCGTTTTGAGGCTCGCGTGGTCGGTCAGTCATTTGTTAAGGACGAGTATTATAAGTAAACGCGTACAAAATGGCAACAAAGAAGAATGGTAATGCCGTAACGGAATTCCAATTTCCACAACGTAAGGAGAAGCAAACATGGTTGGAAATAGTCTACAACAAAAAGAATGGCACCTATTTTGGACGTACACCCAAAAGTTGGGGTGAGTATTCAAGCAAATAAGTATAGGAATATATATATGTATATACATATATTTGGATAAATAAATTTAGTAAATAACTAGTCAATATTGATATAAGTTGTAATGAAGCAAATCCTATGAAGAGAAATTGGAGAAAGAAAATAAAGGAAAGGCACAAGAATGTTACTCGAAAGTGATTAAGGCATAACTGAACATGAAGAAATTAGGGCAATTTTAAGTAAATCCAGTCCAAATTGTTTCCTACATCAGATACATCAATGACGTGGCAAGTTGTACTTATTTGAACCCCGCGACTTTTCTCAAACCCATATCAGAGGGGTTTTCCATTTACAAAAATAGGGTCCATAAAGTCATTACCAAGTTATACCCAGCTTTCTTGCATTAACACTAATTAAGTCATATGTACAATATATTAAATTATGAATTTAAATAAACTAACTAATCAGCTAATCTTTAAACTGGAATTATCAAGATAGCAGCCAGTAAAGCGTAAACAAACATAAGAAAGCAAATAAATTTGTTAGTACTTCAGTGAATGCAGTAAAATGCAAAAAAAAATACATACATACATATGTATGTACGTGCATACGAGGGTGGTTCTAAAAGAAAGTAAAAATTGATATTTTCAAAAATTTTAAATCTTCCACGGATGAAAAACAAAACGTTTTTGATTAATGAGTACACTTGAAAGAAAAAGAAAAATAAAGAAGAAAAAAAAAAATTTGATTAGGTATGCAGAAATCAGTAAAAAATGCATAAAGATATATATCTGACAATTGCACTGAGAGAAAAATCAACCAAACTTGAAAAGGAATCAACGTGATTTTTGGTTAATATTAACAATGCCATGGTTGGCATTTTCAACAATGATTTGGTAATATTAACCACAATTTTGTTTGCATTAACCAAACTTTTGATTGGCGATTTTTCGTTTGAATACGTTTATATTCTGCACTTCACGGATGCTTTTTCATAATTCGGAGATACAAAACAAAAATTTTTATTATCATTTTAACATGTTGCCTCTGGCGGGATTAGCAAATGACAGCAAGCATCTCTACACACTCAGCTACAGCCGCTTTATAAATGCGTCTTCAAGTGTTAAATTTGAATAAATTTTCTTCGTAGTTTGATTTGGTTCTACACGTCACAGAGGCTTTTTCGTAATTAAGAAAAATCAAAAACAGAAAAAAATCATCATTCGTACTGCTGGAATCCAACAAATAACAGCAAGCACCTCTGCTAGTTCAGCCATTGCCATACGTATGAATTTATTCTCAAATGTTCAACTTGAATCACATTTCTTACAATCGGCTTATTGACCATGAAAAAATCAAACCATAACTTGGTTGAGAAACGCGTTGGGCTTTTGGCTCAGTTTATGTCTTAACTGCAGCCTAACTAGAAAACATACTTCGAACAAAGTAAGAAGTCAAAGTTCAGAGCTTTTTTTGTGCAATTATTTGTTTATGCTTCACAACGATAAAAGAAAAATACTAGTTTCACAATTTTCCAAAATTCGAATCATTTTGGAAGTTATAGCTATTAATAATTTCGAAATTGTTTAAATTTTAATTGTTTTCTTGCGATTGATAATACCGATTCTGCTTATTTCTTAAAGAGATAAGTATGATGATGCTGTCTTCCCATTTTTATTTGTAATTTGGTCATAACATTTTTTTTTCATAAAAGTTATTAAAACTTTTCTAAATAATACTGACATCTCAATGGCTTTAAAATCGCGTTGCGGGCTAATATTGTTGTACGTTCTATTGACAATTAGGTATTTGCAGAAAAAAAATTTTGCCGGAATGCATCGAGACGAAAATTATTCACATTTCTCTTTACCAATGTATTTTGTATGGAATATTAAGATAATTGACTCTTCTGGCATTAGCTTGTATCCTCCTCTTCGGCTTTGCGCAATCTTGTATTTTATCATTGTTATCTAATTAAAAAACCTGAATATCCAGACGCCAGAGTGAACGGATATTCTGATAAAAAAAAATTAATGGATATTTAGATAAAAGAACCGAACGTATATTAACTGGCTTTTTTCCGTATACACGAGTCTAAAGTATTTTTGGAAAACCACTTCGATCTTTTTTTGCCGAACGTAGATGGGGGCCGCTTTTTCACATTTAATCGGATATCTGTTCTTATTTCACTAACGTACCACCCTAATGTCAGTAAAGTAAAACTTTTTTCAGTTTGCTTGAAGGGTGGTACGATCTAATGTTCATGCAGGCAGCATTTGTTACGTGTGAAATCAGCTAATAGATTAACAAATGAACTATTTAATGCAGCAAATAAAAATGCAAAATAATTTCTGTTATAACGAACATAGCAACAACTAAAAATTGTAAATTCTCTCAGCCCTCAAAACGTAGAACAACACATACATATATATACAATGTACAATAAAAAGGGAATAGGTTTAAAAACACAGAAATTAAAACGAAGGAAAATCTAAATGAATATGAAAATACAATTAAACTAAACAAATAAATAAATAGAAACTCAATACAAACGCTATCTCCTCTCCCCCTCATTACACACATAAATACCTATATACACATAAATTTGTATGTATGTATTCATGTATGTATGTACTAGTGTGGAGGAGAAAAATTAATGACAAGTTGAGCGAAAAATATCAAAAAGTGCTGATAAGAAAATTTTACGCGCACTAAGCGACAAAAAGGGCGAAAACTCGCATGTATACCGTGTATAGAAGGAATAATTGATGGATCGCTTCTAGAGTGAGTAAATGAGTAAATGAACACATGAACACAAAATTATGTGGTTGATAGTGCGGCATATGGATTGATGACTGTTGACAACGTGGTGCGGCGATTAGACGCATGAATGCTATCAGCAAAAACTAGAGAGCCACATGTCGAGTGATTACTGTCGATTTATAAAAATAAAAACAATAAGAGATTAAATTGAGTAGGAGCCAGGGAAACCAACTCGTGGGGAATTCCCCGATTTGCGGGGAATTTGAGTTTGCTTGGGAAATCGGGGAATGGACCGATTTTTGTGGGAAATTTCAGTTTATGTGCAGAATCGGGAGATTAACTGCTTTTTATGAGGAAATAGGTGTTAACTACTTTATTCTTTTTTGCTTCACTAATTTCATAATGAGGTAAAAAAAAAGTCGCGTAAGCAATTCAACTGCAAATAATGCAAATTACCGTTGATTTCATAGGTTTATAAAACGAATGAACACAAGTTTTTTCTTATGTAGAAGAAAACCGCAACACCTTCGGAAAAAAAATTTAAAACGAAAATTTTTGGCCACTTATTAGAATTGAGTTGGCTACAAAACTGCATACTCAAAATTTTTCTAGAAAATCGAATTAAAAAGCTATAAACTTTTACGAAAGTTTATTAATTTGTTATTAATATAACACAAAGTTTGAAACTGGGATACATACGGTTTTTGTTAAAGAATTAACTATATTTAAAAAAACTATTAACTCAAAATTAAAAACAAAAAAATAATAATAATAATTGTGAAAAGTTTGCCAAAATTTGGCGCGACTAAAATTTTGTACCATTTTATTTGTGTAAATATTATTTTTTTGTTTTAATTTTTATTTTATTACTTTGTTTTTATTTTTATTCATTTATTTATTTCATTTTTTTTTTTGTTAACTAACTTTATAAAAGCTTGGTTGGTCTATAAATACATACATAGCTGAATTACATAAAAAATATAAATGTACAGACAGACCAGCAATATGTCAAAATACACAAAAATTTCATTTGTAAATAAGCAGATATCCATGGGTGAGGAATTTTACGAAATTTCCGGCAAAATCGGGGAATTTCGTTGTCGAAATCGGCGAATTCTCAAAAATGAGTTGGCTACCCTGGTAGGAGCCTACACGGAAAAGAGCCGCATTAATTGTAAGAAACATAATACTTGCGCGTATACACACATTTCATACATAAAAAATATACATACATACATATGAACATATAAATGAATAAAAGCGGGTGTGTAACTCTCGCGCGCGCGCTTTTCGAATTGACTATGAATCACTAGGTGAGACAAGTTGTCAGGTTAGCATGGGCTAGCCGGGGCATTTATGTTCTATCACTATAGGCATGATGAAAAAAAAACAAATGTAGAAAAAGGAATAAGGAGACATGAAAACTCCGGTGGTGATATGAAAGTCTTAAATCCACTTGACCAGTCATTTATGGGGCGTAGAAAATATAAGAAAAAAATTAGCAAAGCATTTCATAAACCTTGTCATACAAGTCCATTCGAAGTGCCAACACGCAAGGCGGGCATGTACCTGAAAACTGTGCGACTGACTGGCCATGGACAGAAAGTCACAAGGCGTTGTCATTAGACAAGATAGCCGCAGAAAATGTGCATTCATACATATATATATATATATATATATGAATGACCTAGTCAAAGCTTTCATGTTGAAAAATTGATTTGTTTGCTTGGGTGAAAGACTACTCTCAACGATTTTTGGGTAGCTTAAAGTTTGTGCTTTGAAAGCAGCAGGTTGTAGTTGAATCTGAGCTGAGATACAAGTCATATTAACTTCTCATTCCGTGCCCAAGATATCAGAATCGCTGTGCTACAAACTATCTTACCTGGTTGAACATTCTTAACTTTGTATTAATGCATGCAATGTTTTATCTTATCTCAGATCTGGCGTGCCTATTTACTTTGTCTATGATAAGCTGTCATGAAGTTAAGACAACGTAAATAGGTACGTCTGAGTCGCACGGTATTTAACAGGGCAATTCTGGAAACTGCCTTTCAACTCATCACAGTCTTACGAAAGAGGATAATATTTCTAGAAATTAAATAATATAAAAGCTAAAAATTTAAAGAAAAAAAATTAAAAAATAAATACAAAAAAAACAAAATTAATAAAATATTGTATGTGTTTTATATTTGGAGCTTTTCGGCCATCGAGTTTAAAGCAAAAACGCTGGTTTTTCTTTTCTGCCTCCTCAACGAAAAC